CATGACAGGCCGAGACACCCTCTTATCAGCCACCCCAGCTCATGCACCAACCGAAGAAAAGCCCGCCACAGCAGCGCGGTCATGGGGCGAACAGCTGGATGTCTGCGACCCTCTTCCCTGTGCGCTGAGGACAGATGAGGAAGACGAGTGTCAGCTAGACTACGATAAAGAAGAGGGACAATCCGACTATCTCATCTCTGAGGAGGAGGAAGATGTCGATTCGTCGCTCTTCATACCTTCCACTCAAGCGGCTCATTCCCTCGCAGCGGCGGGACCCGCAGAAGAAACGGACAGGGCACCATCCTCTCCGTTTCTCAGTGTGGATCCGTTGCCGACCGTGATTGCAGAGACTGTTAAGTCTCGTTACGAGGGCAAGAGGCTGCCGAGAGGAAAGCGGGTAGCGAGACAGCTACTTCCAGCTTTCCTCGAGCTCTTGGAAGAATTGTCTGACTCGTGGAAGAACAAACCATTCACAAACAAAACGCCCATTCAAGGAGGGTCAGCGCTAGATGTCGAAGGCATGGAGAAGACTGGTCTACTCCGCATGCCTCCCATCATTGCCGTGTACTTGCACCCAAAGCGCACCGTGGCTGAGAACCCCACACTGCCATCAAAAGCAGACCGTTTCCAGTCAAATATGACCGATCGTGTCTATAAGGTAGTAGCACTCTCCGTCAGAGCCATGAACGCGATCTCTTTGCTGACCGCATACCAAGCGGAGCTGCAGGACGAGGTGTCTGCCACACCAGGCCATACACATTGGGAGGAAATCTGCGTTTTCACTGATCTCTCACTTCGCCTCCAGAGATGCCCAATTCAAGCAGCCGGGAAGGCTATGGCTACACTGGTCTTACAGGAGAGGGGATGATGGCTTAACCTCGCTAATATCTCTGATAAAAGCCATTTTAGACCCACTGGTCATCGCGGAGGGAATATTCGGTTCAGATAAAAAAAGACACAGCATCAAACGTTCGCTCAAGCCGTAGCTCGACCACCACCAAGCTTCCGCATTCCGAAACGGCCGAGACTGGCCACGAATGCAGCGAGTCAGAGCGCAGCTCCCGAACAGAAGGCTGCCTGGTCGAGGAAGAGTTACTCATCCTCGCCGAACACAGCGCAGCGGGATCAGCCAGCTCCTCGTCCCTCTCAGGCACAGAGGAAGGAAGAAGAAGGCTGTTTGAGGGGATCTCTCCAAGGGAGCAACTCCATTTGATCAGTGAAAAGTGATCACTTTTGAAAAGTGCCCATTCGTTCTAATGAGGCCCAGTTCATACGTTCTCCCGTGTTCTGTGAAAAGCGTTCAAGGACGCCAAGTTTGGGAAGATGGCCAAGATGTGTTTCCAACCACATATGTCACAAGCACCTGTTACACACGAAACTCAATAAAGTTTTCACTGTGTCCCCAAATGTTGCAAAACATTTGGGGACACACAATCAGGCTATCCCAGCGAGTTTTTGCTCCATCAGAGATAGCAACTCACACTCAACCCATCGATACGCAGGGCCATCGCGCATGCGCTGTGTCGAAAATAAACAGGTCCCTAAGGCAACCACAAGAGTGCGCCATAACATTAAAAGAGAGTTATTGGCACGCGTGTACACAGTCCCGATGGGTGCTGAGAACTATTCAGCAGGATTACATGCTACAGTTTGCAACCTCCCCACCCCAATTTAGAGGGATAATTCCCTCTTGTGTACAGGGAGAATTAGTTCATGTTCTCCAGGAGGAAATCACCTCACTGTTGAACAAGGGGGCGATAAGGGTTATTCCACCCGAGGAGAGAAACAGCAGATTTTACTTGAGATATTTCTTGTTCCAAAAAAAGGGTACTCGAGCTCTCTGCCCCACATTAGACCTGCGCGCACTGAACAAATATCTGAAAAGATTCAAATTCAGAATGCTCACGCACTCTACCCTGCTGAAACTCCAGGCGATTGGTTTACGTCAATCGATCTGAAGGATGCCTATTTTCACATAAAAATATATCCACACCACAGGAAATATCCATATCCATCCACCTTATTTCCAAGGGTGGCACACGAGTACCTAGTCCTCCCGTTCGGTCTGTCCCTGAGCCCGAGAGTGTTCTGTAAAATGTACAGAAGCGGCTCTGACTCCTCTCAGAGAGAGGGGCATCCGTCTCGTTACATACATAGATGACTGGCTGATCACAGCTCAGTCAGAACACAAAGCAAGAGAGCAGACAGCTGCTCTCATGGAACACCTGCAAAAACTGGGTTTCAAGTTGAACACAGAAAAAAGTGTGCTTGTTCCCAGGCAGTCCATTATTTATCTGGGGCTGTCACTGAACTCTGTGGCATTCACGGCACGTCTCTTGGACGAGAGATGAACAAGTTTATTCAGTGCCCAGCTGCATTTCGAAGGAAAAGCACAATAAACTATCACACATGCCTCAGGCTCTTAGGTCTAATGGCCTCGGCCCTGATTGTCATCCCTCTTGGAAGACTATTCATGAAGGACTTCCAGCGCTGGGTAGCCTCTTCCAGGCTGGACCCATCGAGACACTCACAAAGGAGAGTTAAAGTGACATCAGAAGCTATGATGTCTCTACGCCATTGGAGACACCCATCCTTTCTGGCTTGCGGGGTACCCATGGGTATCATTCAGGCTAGAAAAGTTATAACGACAGACGCGTCGTTGTACGGTTGGGGGGGGGACTCACGAGGGCATGACTGTAAACGGAAGATGGGGTCATCAGCTGACCAATCTTCATATAAACTCTTTGGAAATGCTAGCGGTTTTCCTGACGCTAAAGCATTTTCTCCCTTTTCTGAAAGGACAACATGTTCTTGTGAGAACAGACAATACCACTGTTGTGGCGTATATAAACCGCCAAGGGGGAATCAGATCACCCCGTTAGCACATGCTGGCACGCAAACTGATTTTATGGAGCAGTGTAAATCTCTCATCCCTGAGAGCAACTCACGTTCCGGGTATATTAAACAGGGTGCAGATCTGCTTTCCAGAGGGAATCCACTCTACAGCGTGTGGAAACTGAACAGGGAAGTGGCCGAACAAATCTGGAGCATGTATGGCAGAGCCACTGTGGACCTTTTTGCGTCCAAGGAAAATGCTCAATGCCCTCTATATTTTTCTCTGAAAGATCCGAGCGCGCCACTGGGGATAGATGCGCTGGCACACAAGTGGGCCCGCGCTCTCCTTTACGCGTTTCCTCCGATCGCGCTGATTTCCCCAACACTTCTCAGAGTGAGGAAAGAAGGACTTAGACTCATACTGATAGCTGCGCGATGGCCAGGCAAACACTGGTTAGCGGAGATCATACTTGTGCTCTACAAGGAGCCATGGCCGCTCCCGTTACGCAGAGACCTGCTGTCACAGGCAGAGGAGGAAATCTATCACCCTCACCCGGAGCGCCTGGCCCTATGGGCATGGCCAATGAGTGGATTAATCTAACCTCAGCTGATTTGCCCGTTAGTGTCATCAAAACGATACAAAATGCCACAGCCACGTCCATGAGATCCCTTTACAAATGCAAATGGAGTTTTTTCGAACAGTGGTGCACAAACAGACAGGAAATTTCTTTCCAGTGTTCACTGGCTGCAATTCTATCATTTCTCCAGGAACTGATAGATCAAAGAAAGGCGTTTTCAACAATTAAGGTTTTTCTGGCTGCTATTTCAGCTTGCCACATAGGTTTTGACAGTAAAATGGTGGGGCAACACCCTTTAGTTCGCAGATTCATGAAAGACGCGCGCCGCGCTCTACCAGTTTCTAAACCAATCTCCCCCTCATGTGATTCGGTACTGGTCCTTGACAGCCTTTCTATGCCACCATTTGAACCACTAGACAGAGCAGATCTTAAGACACTGTCGTTAAAAACGGCACTGTTGATTGCTCTGTCATCAGCAAAGCGTGTGGGTGAAGATTCATGCATTTTCCGTACACTCGTCGTGTATGCAATTTCTGACTGCAGATGCGGGAGTGCTCCTGAAGCCTAATCCCGCCTTTTTGCCCAAAATCATCGGTTCCATTATTAATTTTCACCCACCTCCCTTTGCCTCGGCAGAGGAGCAGAGGTTAATCACGTTATGTCCCGTGCGCGTGTTACGCTTTTACACAGAAAGAACAAAAGCTTTTAGGAAAAGCGATCAGCTGTTTGTGTCATGGGCTAAACCCTACACTGGAAAGCCAATCAGGAAACAACGCCTATCTCACTGGATAGTGGAGGCGATTTCCTTGTCATACTCCAGTAAGGGGCTAAACCCCCCGGCTCGATTACGCGCTCACTCAACAAGAAGAATGTCAACATCTTGGGCTGTTTTCAAGGGAATCAGTTTTCAAGACGTGTGTGATGCGGCTAGCTGGTCTTCTCCGCATACCTTCACACGTTTTTATAAACTGGATGTTACAGCTCAAAACTTGGCTCACACAGTTTTGCGTGCAGGATCCAGAGATTAGATGGTTGGCAGAAGACTTTGAAACAGGCTACCTAGGCCACATAGCAATACGGGAGTTGTCTATATCCCATAGTGAGACACCAAAACGTGTGCTTGAAAGAGAACAATAGGTTACTTGCGTAACCCCAGTTCTCTGATAGCATTAAGTAAGGTGTCTCACCAGAACACCCTCCTTGCATGTGAAGCGAGGAAGAGGTGTGCTTGTTTTGAATGTCGTCATGACGCAGAGTCCCCCCTTTTATAGAGGGTGAGGGAGCACCTCCCAGGACTAAGCGTCATGTCTGCCAGCCAATATGGGCTGGCATAATGAAATAGTGCTTCTGAGGAATACGCGGAAGGGGCGTATCCCATAGTGAGACACCTCACTTAATGCTATCAGAGAACCGGGTTTACGCAAGTAACCTATTGTTTTAGATCATTACAGATCACAAGCGAAAAAAGTGTAGCAAAACGTGTTCTACAACACCCAACCAGAGCCTGATGGGACATCTGCAGATCTAGACTACTACTGTAGTCTGTACTTTATATTGCTACAAATTTATTTCTATACAACACATGTGGCAGTTGTGGTCTAGTGGATAAGATGATTGACTGGAGATAAAAAAGGTCGCTGGTTCAGTCCCCAGCTCCACTGGGAGTTGAAGGTGAAACTCTCTCCCTGCTGTGACAACCATTACAGTGGAGGCCTTGAGCAAGTCACCAGTTACCACAGCTCCCCGGGCACTGCTGCCCACTGCTCCCGGTGTGTTCACTTGGATGCGTTAAATGCAGAGCACAAATTCTTGTATGGGTGACTCCACACTTGATCCTAACGCCACTTTCACTTCATTCTTACCTTGGTTCATAGTAACATTACTGCAGAAATAGATCTATGTCCATTTGCTGCACTCTGAGGTACTTGCCCAACTGACCCCAGAATCTGGCATTTTATTGGATCCCGCAAAATCCATCTGGATATGTTATAGTATGTTTTAGTGTTCACTGATCAGAAAATAATTGTTTTTAATAGGTGTATGAAAACATGCCAAAAAGAAAAGCATATTGTTTTCACAGTTGCTATGAATATAAAAGAAAGATTCCTCATTGAACTCGGACCATATGGAAAAAAAGGGTGAAATACTGATGATTAACATAATATGCAAGAATAAACATATTACTTTATACATATTACCATTAATAACAGGGTCAGAAATTAATGGATGCCTATGGAGGAAATAAAAAGACTTAAGCAGGGTTCAAAGGCACGATTGTCGGAGCAGTCATGTCACAGATGCCTTCACACTGAAGGACTCTTTGGAGAAGCATTCAACTTTGAGAGAATCGCAGAGTGCTGTGTCCATGTTCCAAAAGTGCGTTTTGCAATCAACCAATCAAAGAAATGTGAGCGTGAAAGTTAAATTATTATTTTTTTGGTCCAAATAAGGCAAAAAGAAGCTCCATCTGAACCAAAAGTACAGTTTATATACGCCGTCTTTGCCTTAGTAACTCCTCCACAACTTTTCCCGTTGCTCTGGATGTGGTTTTTCATTGGCTGCAGACGTTAAATTCAATCCACACAGTTCTATTAATCAACATTAATAACCATTGTAATAACTATTCATTTAAAAATAAATATATGCAACTATATTTATTAATTTTATAAACAGAAATTATAACAATTAAATGCATTTGCGTGATTATCAAGTTTGCTGTAAATTATGGCCTTGAAAACCTCATAAATTAACCTGGATTTCTGACCCTGGTTGAGGACCATACCTTCTGCCCCTAGTTTGCGTTTCTGAGCAGTGCTATGGCACTGAATTAAACATGGGGCAAATAAAAGATGCCAGGCAGCGTATTTGATTCACCATTTATTCTCTTCCTTCAAATTGTGAAACTAAAACACACCATAGTAAACCCACGCTTGTACGAAAGGTGTATACATAGCACACGGAACATAAAGAAGCATATAAAACCGTGATAAATCAATAACACCATTGCAAAAGGGATTAGCGTCACAGTAAGACAATTACTGCTGACATGGAGTTCTGACCACATGCTCTGCTTAGCCACATTAGCATGTATAAATGCTTATAAAACCAACATATTTCAGAACAATCACTGTCAAAAAGGTTGCACACTTACAGATTTGTGAGGAACTAAATGTTAACTAAGTTTTGGTGGATGCCTTTATGATTTAAGAAGTAGAGGAGTTTATAAAATTTATGAAAACAGAATGAAGCTAGAACAACATACTGGTTTAAATTACAAAAAAGCCAAAACTTAAAATAGAAAATAAATGTGGGAAATGTGACCAATGCAATCAAAACGAAAACACAGAGCATGCTTTAATACAATGTATTCAAAATAAAAAAGGACAAATAAACCCTAAAACCCTATAAAATAAATTAACTTACAGTGATCGTACACATTTATTATTCACAAAACATAAATATAAAAGAATCACGTAAAGAAAACTATTAATAATACAAGAACGTTTCATTCATTCATTTCGGGATCCAAACTACTGATCCAGCTGGTGGCGCTAATGCACCATAAAGCAAACTGCCAAAAAAACAACAGAAGAAGAATAAAGGGGTTTTGCAGCCTTCGGAGGATCCTCCCAAGCCTTAAAGGCTGGATAAGAGGGACCCTCCGGAGGCTTTTAGAACCTGGATCGGGTCCTTCTATCCAGCCTCCAAGGCTGCGGCTTGGGAGGATCCTCCGAAGGCTGCAAAACCCCTTGGTAAGCGGCGCTCTAGCCTCATCTTCTTCTTCTGTTGTTTTTTGGCAGTTTGCTTTATGGTACATTAGCGCCACTAGCTGGATCCGTAGATTGGATCAGTTGATCAGTAACTTTATTCTGTTTTCATACGTTTTATAAACTTCTTCGTCTGCTTCTGGAAACATTATGACATCCACCAAAACTTAATTAACATTTAGTTGGCTGCTTATGTAATGTTTACAATGAATGTTTAAAATAAAAAAAAGTGTTTTACAATTTGCCTATCACTACCACCATTTAAAGCTTGAATATACTGTACTTTATTTTTTAAAAATGTGTTACTTACAGCTGTGTTCCAATCCAAAAGTGTTTATCCTCCCGAGTGCGCATTTTAACACCACTTACGGCACAACGGTGCGACAAGGCCGTCTTATTTCGCCATGGAAATGTTTAGTTGATAACATCAGCATGTTTAACTGTTGTAATCATAATAATCATACAGATAAGTGTCATTATAAGAAGAATAGTTAAGAAGACCATAAAAGTAGTCTGTACTCCAGATAACAATCTTTTTGGGTTTGCAAATTTCTGTTTTAGTGAGAGCAGCTACTATGATTATGTAGACAATGTCAATGAACACAAAAAGCAAGAAACAAAACTTGTCCAAACGATCTACAAAGGATTCATTTTTGGTTGTTTCCTGATCTTTTTGTTGCATGCCCTCCAGAATGTTCACGATTTTTTGTAAGAGAGTCAGCTTTGAAGTCAGGTCAGTGGACATCGTTGTTGTGGGCGCACCAGTAGCTGTTAACAGAAAACGCACGGGTGAAGTTGGACATGGAGAAGATGCTTGAGTCTTTTACGCTCACAGTAATAAAAGTTCCCTTACCTTCCTCCTGGTCCTCACTTGCGTTTTCTGTTTTTGTACTGACTGAACACTTACAAAGCTGGATGCTGTCAGCCAATGCTAGTCGAGTTAACACAATAGACATCACCATGCTCAGAACCAAATTAATGAGGCAGAAGCAGAAGTGATAATCTATGAAACAAAACAAAAGCCAGTCAAAATGTATTATCGTTTGAGTAAAAACAATCCAATTTCTAAAACCTTTGGGTTTAATTATTTTATTACAATTTAAATTCATTTCAAAAAGGTTCAGAGCAGGCCATTCAAACTTCAATACAAAACTTTTTTGAATAACTTTTTTCTGAACTAAATTGCCAGTGGATTAAAGTTTTTTTGTTGATGATTTAGTGCAAATGGCTATGTGATTGTCACAAGTGTACTGCGTTTCCCGCAGAGAGCCTGTTACCACATTTTTTGTGCAAGGTCAGGAGGGACAAGGAAGAGGTTGTTCTGGTTGTGCTGATTTGGAGGTTTTCTATCTTCCCTTGTGACAGTATCTCCTTGGCCCATTCTCCTGAGGCAGGACTTTCTCAATCAGTGAGGGGGCATCAGGCACCTGCACCCTCTACCCTGAAGCTCGCTCTGTCAACCCCCTCTGCAGTTAAACAATGATTGCATTTCCACACTGCACTTACTATAAAAAGAGATATTGTCTGGTGTGCCTCAGAAATCATCCAACTTCACCTTTCTTTCATTCATTTTAATATCTGCTTATTCCCTTTCGGGTCACGGGGGTCTGCCGATCTCCAGCGCACATTGGGCGAGAGAGAGGGAGCACACCCTGGACAGGTCGCCAGTCCATCACGGGGCAACACTCACACATTCACACCTAAAGGGAATTTAGATTATTCAATTAACCTAACCACATGTTTTTGGGATTGTGGAGGAAACCTGGAGGAAACCCACGCAAGCACAGGGAGAACATGCAAACTCCCTCCAGGAAGGTCACTGGTGAGCCTCAAACCAACAACCTTCTAACTGGAAGGCCACAGTGCTACCCACTGCACCACTGTGCCAACTCCAATTTCAACATAATTCAACCTTGTCTAATTGGTTGTTGTAATGGTCTAAGCTAATTTTGTGACAAATTTGGAAACAAATACAATGTGCCATGAAGAACAAAAACACAAGTGCCAAATGAAGGCATTGGGTTGCATTCAAGAGGTTGCTACAAATCCAATTACAGTCTACTGGAGAAAGCCATTTTTAATCTTTATTGTAGTCTCTTTATTAAAAAAATAACATTAAATAAATCGTAACATGTCATTCTCAAATTTTTATTCTAGAAAAATATTTCACCCACATTCCAGTTTTCATCAAACTGGGCATTTATCTATATATGTAATAATCACATTTTGTTGGATTTACTCATCTAATAAACACTTACTTCATCTGGCTGTTAATGGACCCATAGCGCCCTCTGTCACAGAATTCACTCCATAGATGACCCACTTTGGCAGTTCTAGTATTAACATTTGTATGGTATTTGGGTCAAATTGACCCATTTCAAATTTTTACAACAATAAAAATGTTTCAAGTTAATATTTTTTCTACCTGAAAATTCATGGCGTAAGCTTAGTTTCTGTGATATAATAAAAACATTTCTATTATAGCACACTTACTACTCTCGCGCTCGTCAGACAGTTTCATCTTTTAGTTGTTTAATGTTATTCCATAACATTCAACACATCAAACATTTTCTGGCACTACATGGCTTGCACCTAGTTTGGCATCCTCATCTGTGCCGGTGTCTACAGGTCAAGAGGAGAGTCAACTGAAAGTCTATGGGATGTTGAAACAGGGAGAGCAATTTTCAGAGCCACGGTGTTTCCAAAGAGCATCAATATTTTTTCAAGAATGATCAGATTTGACTCAAAAAAAATTGGAATCAAGACCTGTTAGACAACGGAGGGACAAGTTGGCAGCAATTTGGACTGTGTGAGATCAGTGGGTCTTTACAACCCTGGGAAAAATGGAACTGTGAATGAAAGGGTTGTGGGATTTAAGGGCTGCTGCCCTT